TCAAATGCTCACTGAAAATATGCCAGGGTCCTGGCAGGGATCTGTGATGCCATGGGGGATCCAGGGGGATCAGCCTGTCCCTGAAGGACTGACCCCGTGTAAAAGAAACCCCACTGGAGCAGTTCCTGAAGAACTGTAGGCCATGGAAGGGATCCACGCTGAGGAAATTTGTGGAGAAATGGTTCCCATGGGAGGGGARCTGGAGCAGGGGAAGAGTGGGAGGAGTCCTTCCCTTGAAGGAGAATAAACTACAGCCCCTTTCCCTATCCCCTTTTCCCCTTTTCCTATCCACTTTTCCTTTCCCTATCCCCCGTTCCCTATCCTCCTCCCTTTTCCCTATCCCCCTTTCTCTATCCCTATCCCCCATCCCCCTTTCCTTATCCCCATCCCCCTTTCTCCTTTCCCTATCCCCCTTCCCCCATCCCTTTTCACCTTTCCCTTTTCTCCCTTTCGTATCTCCCTTTCCTTTTCCCCTATCCCACTCTCCCCTGTCCCGTCCTCTTTCCCTATCTCCCTGTTCCCTTCTCCTATCCCACTCTCCCCTTTCCCTTTCCACTTTCCTTTTCCCCATCCCCCTTTCCCTTTTCCCTATCCCCCTTTCCCTATCCCCTTTTCCCCATCCCCCTTTTCCCCTTTCCCTTTCCCTATCCCCCTTTCCCCTTTCCCTATCCCCTTTTCCCCTTTCCCCATCCCCCTTTCCCTCTTTCCCATTTCCCTTTCCCTATCCCACTTTCCCCTTTCCCTATCCCTTTCCTTATTCCCCTGTCCCTCTTGGGGTAGGAGGCAGAAACCTGGGAGTGAACTTGAGCCTGGGAAGAAAGCAGAAGTAGGAAGAAAGGTTTTTAAGATTCCATTTTTATTTCTCATCACCCTCCTYTGATCTGACTGGTGACAAATTAAACTCATTTTCCCAATGCCATCAGTTTTGCCYGTGGCAGTAATTGCTGACAGATCTCTCCCTGTCCTTATCTCCTGTTAAATCTCCTGTCCCCTGTCCAGGTGAGCAGGGCAGTGACACAGTGACTTCCAGGCAGTCTTGGAACAGCCTGTGCTGCACAAACCCTTCTCCTCATCCTTCCTCTGAAAAAAAAATCCTTTTTTCAAAGCTGATGAAACTCCCAGCTCTGAAACATCCTGCCAGGCTGGGAATTGAGAGACAGAGAGGAAGGGAGCTAAAGCAGCAACATGAAAACATCAAAGCATGTTCAGCCAGGAGAGATGAGCCCATCAGTTTTCCAAYCTCCTCACACACTCAGTGCCTAGAAAAAGGATGAGAGTGGATTTTTTTAACCRTTATTCTTATTTATTTGATTATTTCTCATCTTTACCCACAGGGAGGAATCACCCTGAAAGGCAGGAAGCCCTGGCAGTCCCAGGCAGCACTTCCCACAATGGATCTTTAAATCCAAAGTCAACAGAGTCRATTCTGATTGTGGCATCTACAAGAGGGCTTTGTAGCTGTGCCCTGATTTATTGTGAACTGTTCATTCCCTCCCCACAGCCCTCCCCCTCCTGAGCTGCCCTCAGCRCTGGGATGGAGGAATCAGGAGAGAAATGCAATGATCCTGGTGACCTGCATCCTTTTCCCAACATCATCATCCTCAGTTGTGGTCTGAGATCCTAAATATCAGTTCAGGAGGCATTAAAGCACACAGAGATCCTGAAAAGCTCTACTTTTGTGGTCTGGGGCCCTAAATATCAGTTCAGGAGGTACCAAAGCACACAGAAATCGTGAACAGCTCTGTTTATGTGGTCTGAGGCCCTAAATTTCAATTTAGGAGGTACCAAAGCACACAGAGATCCTGAACAACTCTGTTTTTATGGTCTGAGATCCTAAATATCAGTTCAGGAGGCATTAAAGCACATAGAGATCCTGAAAAGCTCTACTTTTGTGGTCTGGGGCCCTAAATATCAGTTCAGGAGGTACCAAAGCACACAGAAATCGTGAACAGCTCTGTTTATGTGGTCTGAGGCCCTAAATTTCAATTTAGGAGGTATCAAAGCACACAGAAATCATGAACAGCTCTGTTTTTTATCATTCTGAATGTCCTTTGCACGGTGCATTGAAGCACTCAATCCATAACCTTGCACTGAATGCTCTCAGTGCCCCTATTCCTCATCACAAACAATTTTACTGCCCCAAGAACAGAAAAAAACCCTGTAATCCTCTCAGCCATGGATTATTTTTTTTTTTTTAAATAACTTCTCCATTTGCATACAGTGACAATTTATTGTTGTCACCGGAGTGGCAATCTGGGAGGCACCCATCTATCACAGGAATTAAGTGAAGCTTTTCAAAAGGGCAGCAAGCTTGACCTACTTACCCATAAATGTGGGGAGAGACTCAGACAACCTCTGTGAGCTGACAGACAAAGAAAACAAACCTATTTTTCATAAACAACGGGGGCAGGGAGGAGAAAAGAAAGCAGCAAACCTGAGCTATCTCCTCAGTTTTCCGTAATTTTTCTTCCCAGGTCACGGTCATCTCCTGAATCAACTTCTCCGATTCCTCCAGCCTCTCTTTTAATTCTGGTGATTTCATAGCCTGCAGGAATAAAAACAAATAGAAAGCTTGTTGTGCTTTGTGTTTTCTSCCTTTGCAGCCACGCAGATGGGGGAATAAAGGCAATGTGACTTGTTCAGCGAGGCAAAGCTGAGCAGTGACTAAAGGGGTCTTTAAAACACGCATTGCATTTAAAGGCAGAATCCACCAAAAAGTTCCTTTATTTTAAGTTTAATTTAAGTTTGAAGTGCAGATGTTAATATGGAGTTTATGTCCTTCAGCACAAAGCAATTACAGGATACTGGCAGATTTGCACAAAGATACTCACCCAGAAACTGAGCTTATTTTTACATTCCAAGGGACTCAGAGGAAAAAAAGTTTTGTTTTTTAAKATCCTGCTGCTCTGGCTGTGTGTCCCCTCAGCTGTCCAACCTTTCAAATGACACCTCACATCTCAGTAAGCTGACACACCATCAAAATATTTTTATTGTTCATTTTTATATCAGGAATATCTAGGGAATATCTAGGCAGGAATATCTAGGGAATATCCAACTGTTCTGGTTTTCACCTCTGCATTCCTACGTGCAGTTTTAGAGAGTGAATACCCAAAGAAGTTTCATAATGCGCTTCTGGACACTGAAATTCTGTTTTCTTGCTAATTTGCCACAGCTTTAATTGTGTCTTGCGAAATATTCAATGGTCCATGTTCTAAGCAAGGATTAATTTAAGGGTAAGGACATACCTCCATGGTCACCCATCAGACACCCCAAAAACTGGCAGGRTATCAGCATTCCCCCATCCCTGGAAGTGTCCAAGGCCAGGTTGGACAGGKCTTGGAKAAACCTGGGATAGTGGAAGRTGTCCCATRSCAGAGGGATGGCCCAGAAGAGCTTTAAAATCTCCCTTCCAACACAAACCATCCCRTGATTTTTAAATTACATCTATTTAYTTCCTTCCATTTCCATACTGGCRTTTYCTCCTCTATTAACCTGGATTTCTTTACATCATTATTTCATGACTGCTAACRAGGAAAATGGGTTTGGCTGGCTGGCATTGATGCAACGCCAATTAAACAAGGGAGAATCGTTCTCCACCATCAGCCACTCCCTCACCACAAACCCCAAACTCCTGACAGGAATCCAGATCAAAGAGTGGCCTCCTTACACTGCAGCTGGTTCAAGACAAGGAGCAAGTGCCAGGGTTGGAAAATCTTGTTTTAAGACAGGAGTTTCCTCTGCCTCGAGACACAACAGTTGAGGAAGTGTCAGGTGATGCGTCCTGTGTGGGATTTTCCTGCTCTAGATACCTGAAATGTGGGGTAAAAGGGAGAAAGACTTGGGACAAAGGATGGAGGGACACAGGGAATGGCTTCAAATTGCCACAGGGCAGGGATGGATGGGATATTGGGAAGGAATTGTTCCCTGGGAGGGTGGGGAGGGGCTGGGATAGAATTCCCAGAGAAGCTGTGGCTGCTCCTGGATCCCTGGAAGTGTCCAAGGCCAGGCTGGACAGGGTTTGGAGCAACCTGGGATCGTGGAAGGTGGCACTGGATGAAATTTAAGGTCCTTTCCAACCAAAATGATTCCATCATTCCATGAATTCCACACAGGAAGGAAAGTGAAGCCGAGGCAATTTTGAAACAAAAACTCATTATGCCAGAAAAAAACACGATCAGTGCAAAGGGCTGGGCACTGCAGAGCCGGACAGGATGACGAAGCCCAGACACTCTCAAGGTTTGTCCATTTTTTTTTGACAAATACTGAGCATTTTCACACATTTCAGCTGTACAATGACCTGGGTATCTCTCCTCACTCCCCAAATAAACCCCAAAGAAATGATCCCAGCCCCACAGGGTGGTTCCCTGCTGGAAGCAAGTGAATTCCCAGCCAAGGAAGGACAAGTTTGGCACAGACAAATTAAAACATGATG